CGCTGCCCCGATGTGTGTTGGCGGACTTCACGTCTTCGATATATTTTTTTTCTTATTTCTCAGACATATTCTCAGACATTTTATACGTGGTAGAGCCATGCTGCAGCTATATTAGTAGTATAGTTGTAGCACGAATGGGTCGGCTCGACCGGGGAAGGACCACGCTCTCACAGAATACCAGCGTCAAATAGCAGCTTCATTCTGCTGTGTTTCGTATGGTGAGTGTAGAGAACCGGAGACCCTTTTTACTAGAAAAGAGGCATTCTATCTTAGTCCTCACGGGTGACAACGCATCTGCATTTTGATTCGCAAACGAGGGTAAATGTAGATGTCTATGGGCCACAGCAACCACTTACCATCAGGTGGACTATGTGCTCGGTTGTCACCCTATCCTATAAAAAAAAACATGCAGGTTTATTAACGATGTTTTCCTCCACCGCCGGAAACGTGGTAAGTCAGCATTTGAAATTGCAATAAATTTTTTTATTGGTGACGGCGGGGGTCGAACCCTGATATTTACAGCGAGGACTTAGCCCCTGAGCTACCACGGCTCATGCTTACTTATTCTTACTTTAACTTAATTGTTACTTTAAATCTAATCGAAGATAGTGTGTAACTATTGGTAGAAAAATAAATAAATCTATATTGTTAGGAAAGAGGGTAAAATAATAAAAGAAAATAAAAAGAATTGAAGGTGGAACTATAATCTCCCACTTGTTTTAGCAGTATAAAGTATCGCGCAGTCGACTAAGGCCGTATACAGAAAGAAAGCTGGCAGCCTATCAGCGCTTATAGGGATCGGTTCACGCAGGTAACCGGCGCAGGCATTTATATGAAAAGGCGACGATAAGCGCCGATAAGGGCCGAACGTCGCCAACAAGTTCCGATAATCTTCGACGCGCGTAGGTCAGCGCTGGCGTGGTGGCGCCGCCCGCCATTTAAAATTAACGAACAACTATTCGACAATACGTACAACTACGACACGCATATATTTTTTTTAAATAGAGAAATGAATAGTGACGTGTTGATTGTACGGAAAACGGCATATCAATGGTACACTTAGATACTTTTTAAAATCGCTCTTATTACAAAACTAGCTGTGCCCGCGGCGTAGCTCGCGAATATAGGTTTTACTTAAAGAATTTGACGTTTAGGGTAAGAGAATATTAACCGATTTATATCATTACTCTATGAATAAGTGGTAACAAAATAAATCGATATTCTCAAAGTTCTAAGTCGTTTATGATAGAGCTTCTGTGTAAACGACGATAGAAGTAGACTTAGCCGGGGCGTACAGAAAAAGGTTACGGGCACTGCTAACGCGAGAAAAAGCAATATAGAGCTGGTCATGTGCAAAACAATCAGTACTGACGCGTAAAGTTTGACCTTGCGCTTTATTTACGATCGTCGCATAACACACGCTGAGTGGGAAACACACTTAAAATAGGGATGTTAGATGATCATCGATGTTAAAAATTAAAACTTTGATGTTTTAACATCGATGTTGACATATGTCAAACATCGAAACATCGACGTCAATGAACCCATAATCGATAATTGGGAACTTGCAAACAATGCGAACTCGCGAAATCAATATCAACTAAATCTTGCATCTGCTCTGAAGATTAAAAATTTTGAATAATTCAGAATTTCTGAACGCATCGTTAATCTAAAAAATGTCAGTATGGTGAGTCAAACTTAATTGTCAAATGTCTCCTGTAATGTCACAATGGTCACTGCTTTCGCTTTATTATGTAGTGTCGTTGTCGGTTGTCGCATAATAACTATTTTACATAAATTGATATTCAAGTTAATTGTTACTTTTCCCTTGCTGTGTATACCCACATAATTTTAAAACAATGTGTAAGTATCTACACATATACAAAAACCATCGATAATGGTCAACATCGATGTTTTGAGTAGCCTAAACATCGAACATCGATGTTGAGCTAGCGATGCCAACATCGATGTTATTATCCCTATCTTAAAACTGAAGCCTGAGCCGTGGTAGCTCAGATGGTTAGCGCTCGCTGTAAGCTTCACAGTACTCGAGCAACCCGGGTTCGATCCCCGCCGGCACCAATGAAATTGTTAATTGCAATTTTAAGTGCTGATTTACCACGTGCTCGGCGGTGAAGGAAAACATCGTGCGGTAACCTGCATGTTTGAGAAATAAAAAAAAATATTTCGATGACATGTGAAGTTCGCCAACACGTATTGGGGCAGCGCGGTGGACATTTCCTTGCCCTAAAACCCTCTCAGAAATGAGAGGAGGCCTGTGCCCAGCAGTGGGACGTAAATAGGCTGCAACTTTACTTTACTTAAAACTGAAAAAAAAGTTATTTCGTATTAGAAGGATTCTGGGTATAGAACAATATCACTATCACGACATTTATTGCAATTTTGCTACTTTTAGTAGAGCTTTGTTGAATAATTAAATATTTCAATACCTCTGTATATATACCTTACAGTCTTGCATCAGACTCACGGACATAAATTAATACAGTGAGTCTCAATACGATTCACCTGCGAAAAATCTTAACACCGCAATTCAGAAAAGGTTGTAATTTGTACAACGCCATCTATTACGTTCTTTGTGAGAAAGCATCCTTTTTTAATTTAAGGAAAACATATTTTTACTGTGTTTTAAGTACTATAATAGAACGATACGAAATATATTATAATAGAACGTTTTTTTTACACACGAATCTTTTTATTACTATTTCTGGCATTTTGTGGCGCCATTAAACAAATTCGAACCTACATTTCAAAATAATAATCATGACTTTCGATAGAATTAACCAATTTCAATAAAACAAAGATTAAATGAACTTGATAATACGCTTTATGATTTTCTTAAGGATTTCATTGAAGAAAAAAAAGATGTTTACTCAAAAACGTCATGCGTCCATAAACAAACAGACAGACCGTCAGATAGTACAATTCTAAAAATTATAAAAATGTACTTATTTAATGATTTACAGTCCCCATAATGATTTTAGTCGCAAATTAATATACTATACAATATTCAGAAACAGACATAACATGTTATTACCATTTTTATTATATGTATAGATTTAAGAGAGATGGCGCTGTTAACATCAATTTTAAAAATAAGAGATTAATTCACACGATTGATACAATAAAAAACATAAAAGAACTTATAAATCAGTGCCTGCATAGTAAGCAAAAAAGAAAGTTTGATCCTCGCCGAAAAACGAAATTGTTAATAGCTCTTAAAATTTGATTTACCACATAGAGTACTCGGCGGTAAAAAAATAAAAAATAAATGAGATTGTCAACACGCAGTAGGGCAGCGTGTCATTAATATAAAGGTTAGAAGCAAATATGAAACTCAACTACAGGAATAAATTTTAACCTGCCTTTTTGTATCACATTTATGCCACACCACCATCTATCGATGAAATTGGTTAACTATTGTATTTTAATTTAGTTTAGATAATAATGTTAATATATTTTGTATATATTTATTACGTACTTTATGTAATACTTTTGTTTACTGCGTTTTAGATATAATTATATCATTATAGAACACTATTTTACATCATTTAATTATGATTTATAATATGATATTAATTTTAAAATGTACTTGATGACTCATCCAACGCCACTATTGAACAAATTCGTACCTATACTTAACCCATACTTCAGAATATTTGTCATAACTTTTGATGGAATTAACCAATTTTAATAAAATAAATACTAAATGTAACCTGAATATACACTTAATAATTTCCTTAACTATTCTTATGATATAAATTAGTACTTTATACGTGATACGTTAACAAACAAACAGACAGACAGACAGACAGACAGACAGACAGAAAAATCTAAAAATGGTAGAAATGTATTTAATTACTTATTTTTAGTACCTCTCAATCACTTTTATTACAAAAATATAAAATGTACAGACATCTGCTATTTACATTTTTATTATATGTATAGAAGAAGATAATAAATAATGTCGGTACAAATCTCAAAGTGTTACGCTTGATCTGCTGTTGACTGTACAAGTGTATATTTAAACCACGTTTAAACATTTTAAATTATTATTTATTACAGAGCTAAGTCGAATATTGGTAAGAATTGACTAATGAACAAATAAACATCTTTTCTTAAACATTTTTTTTAATTATAATCTATCTAAAATCTATTTATAAATCTAATAACTTTATCTTTTAATAACTAAGCGATAAATATATTTTTTCGTACTTAGTCTTTCTTTTGGAAGGATTGGTTGTTTATGCCAATTACACCAAATTTCATCAAATGTTTTTCCACTAAGTCCAAAATGTAATAAAATGTTTCTTGAGTCATTCTTGTATATCTATAGAATTTTTGATCATTGGTATTCTCCGAAACGTTTCCTTTATCTACTAATAGGATGTATAGCTTATTTTAGCATTTTAAAATACACATTTTCTAACAAAACTAATTCATCGTACGATGAGTACGACATTTTGGTCGCTCTGCTTCAATCGGCTTGCTTTATGTAACTGTTACCTGAATAGATCAGCGTCGATAACCGCTGGTAGATCGGCGCCGGCTACCAGCTTTCTTTCTGTATACGGCCTAAGGAAGGTGGTGTTGCTGAGAGGGTGCCCTGTGTTACACCGAGAGGAGTAGTGTAGTTGTTGCTTTGCATACTTTGGTGTTATCATGTAATTGTGTCCTTCACGTTACATCAATGTGTGATTGTGACTGGTACATATTACGGTTGGTTGAACTGTATTTGCTCTATACTGAATGTGTAGTGCTGTACGCTGTCATATTCCTGATAATCATTAATTGCGTAAGCAAGAGAGCAAGTTGAACATCCGCTCTCACACTTTTATTATTTTGAACAATTAACCTTCTGAGTAAATTCTAATACGAGTAATATTCTTTTATTTAAATAATTTCGATAATGAATTCTAACATCAGAAGTGGAATAATTTCTAAAAATATAGTGTTGTAGTAAATAAAATAAAATACTTCTTAAACTTAAATTAGAACAATATATTATAAGGAATAATTACATCTTTTATTTATTAACAATAACAACATAATCGTAGAATACTTCACAGTATGTAGACTGTCAAACTGAAACTGTTTGTAGGCGTAAACTACTCCCATTTACACAACATTGCACATTGTTTAATTATTATAATTGCTACAGATTTACAAACAAACTAAAATATTTTATACCCAATTAATATTGTGTAAATACATATCAATTTAATAGATATTCGAAGAAATATTTTTCAACCATTTCTTACTCGTATGACACAGCCAAAGGGACATAATATTCTCTTCTTTTAAATTTAAAGGCTATTTTATAGAATCAGGCGCTAATTTGCGGAAATTCATTATATTATAGTTGTTAGAACTGAATTTGATTATTTCAGCGTAACGTGTCTAGTTTGAAGATAACCTCCCGCCCTCCCTCAATTGCGTGGACTATCGCCGTCACCACGAATCCCACCACCACTACTCCTATGTGACTTAGCGGCTAGCCACCGCAGAGTCTAATTCACCTGAGGATGTTGAGGCAAAACACGTGTCGTATTATCGATGGTGGTGTGTCTATCCTAGTGTATTGGTGTTGGGTGTAGTGGTGCTGTGACGTGAATAGTGCATGCAACTGAGGGAGGGCGGGAGGGGCTCTTCAAACTAAGCAAGACTCATCGTTTTATTTCATTAGCAAATTGGGTTCTAACAACTTCAATTTAACAGCGATCAATTTTATTAATTATATTGTCTTTGTATTTGCTATTTACAATTTTAGGAACTATAATATAATGTGTACTATTCGTGGTTCACTAATATGTTCACCAATATTAACAAATACTTACTATTGGTTTATTAAGGTGCTTGTATATCAGATGATAACATTATCCAATTTCGGCATCACAGGTAATCATGCATTTATTATGAAACATTTGCACGTTGTATAGTTACTTTCACCAAAATCGTTTGAAGTAACAATATTACCTTTAACGACACCGATATGAAAAGTAAAATCTTAATTTGTTCGTTGTTAAAATTTAAATTTTGTTTTCACCACGCGATGATTAGACTGGCAGAGAGTGCGGACTGGCATTAGAGTAGTCCATTTTCTTCTACCTTAAAATATCAAAACAATGTTATTAATTATTTTAATTAGGTGTGTCCATAAACTTAAAATATACGCCAGTATTTTCTAAGTGTATGAGTGTGTCAGTGTCGTTATCGGCCAATGTGAAACCTTTATTCTAGAACATAGCACAACACGGCACCGGCGGACCGGAGGGGAGTAGCCATAGCCACAATAAATAATAGTACTACGAGTACGTACAGAAGTTGCACTCCTTTGATGTTGACTGCTTACCGATGTTTCAATAGTCTATAAACATTACTAAAAATTTGTATTTTAGTTGTATTGTATTTTGTATATATTGTATGTAATTTGTATTGTAATTTGTGTGTGTGTGTGTTTGTCTTTTTGTAATTTATCGCATGTTCCTTACAAGTAATTAAAATATTGTTCAAAGGTCTTCATCCCTTGCCAGTAGGGGCTCATGTCATAATAGACGATCATGGTCCATTCGTCTTTTATTACTTGGATGTCAGAGAATTTGTCGAAATATATTCCTTGGTTTGACTTCAGAGGTGTGTTAAGAAAAGAACATGACGAAGTGCTAAGTATGCTCAAGAAAAATAGCATAGACAACGCCAGCGACGAAAAATGAACTTGAGGTTTCTTAGTAGATTGAGGCGCTCTTGTTTGTTGATCGTTCTTGATTGATGATGGTTTGTTTGTGTTATTACTTATTATCGCTGCAATTTGAGTCTTGATTTACACGTAGTAGCGATAATTCACTACCGGCCTTATGAGGTAGCCATTGATGGTTTTAATTGTGACCACTCTCACTTGCTCATCAAAGCCGGGATGAAGTTCGACGACGCGACCCATCGTCCACTGTCCTGGAGGTAAGTTGTCTTCGTGGACGAGCACGACGTCGTTGATCTTGATATTTTTTTCCCTTTGCCACTTGCTACGTAAATTTAGTTAAATCAAGTACTCTGAACGTCATCGTTTCCATATGTCGTTGTAAATTTTTTAACAAAAGTACCATCTTGTTCGTAGATCTTGCTCTGTATCAAATATCGTCAACACATTTCCTAGCAAGTGGCTAGGAAGTGTTTCAAATAGTGCAGGTTGTCTGGGTCTTAATTCATGGCGCACAATGGTCTTGCATTTAAGAAGCCTCTGTAGCCATAAATCAGTCTCTGTTCACCGATAACGCGTTTCAGGTGATATTTTAGACTTTTAACGGCCGCCTCCCATAGCCTGCTGAGGGCCAGGAAGGGGCCTTAAAATACCACTGTATGTGCATTTCTGTGATCTCTTGCATAAGCTCTGGATTATCTATACAATCTTTATAACATATACAACTATTTCGACGAGTAAACAGCTTTAGAAAACTTTAACATTCAATCGCATAGAATGCGCTAGCCCCGACTGCGTTTTGCCCCGGGGGCGTCTCGCGATTGTAGGCAATCATTTCACGCAGGTAGTAAGAGTGACAGAGGCCTGCCATAGCGCTTTCCCCGATACATAACCGTCTGTAATTTTTGGCGAGGGGAAAATGCGCACATAAAAACAATAAACAGACTATTGTTTTTATGTGTACCACGATGTACCACGAAATACTTACAACAATTAAAACAATAAACTAACAATTTAACACACACACATAGATAGTTACTTTACAACAGGACAACGAGAACTCGGATCAGTCGCTTGACCGATCTGCATATTGTGTAAGGGCGAGCGGCCTGTGTAGGTAATCTAATCCGAAACAACACGACCGTTATTATTTATATAATCTATACAAATAAATAAAATTGAAGTGTCTGTTTGTAATGTCAAAATTACAGTTTTTTACTAAATGCATATGAAAGTAAATATGGTACCTATAACTAAAATACAATTTCTAAAATTTTTGTCTGTCTGTCTGTCTGTCTGTCTGTCTGTTTGTTCCGGGTAATCTCCGAAACGGCTGAACCGGTTTTGACGGGACTTTCACTGGCAGATAGCTGATTTCATAGGAAGTAACTTAGGCTACTTTCATTTTAGAAAAAGAATTAGGGTTCCGCGCAAAAACATAAAAACCCTAACACGCGAACGAAATCGCGGGGAACAGCTAGTTGTATATAAGTGTAATAAATTTTGTTAATAGTTTGTATATCCATTCATGTAAAATTTACTTTAAAAATAAGTCCCGCTGGGTTTCTTGCTGATTCTTCCCAGGACAGAGGTTTTTTTTCCAACCTGTGGTAAAGTAAAAAATGACTTTCATTAAGAATTATACATGTGATCTATATTGAATAAAAAAATATGCTATTCTATTCTATTGCAATATTTAAGTTTAAAAAGAACTGAATAGCAATAATCTGATTATAAAATTACTTTTAAATGAAAATTAACGCCATCTTTTCGTAAATTTGACGTGGCAGATCTCTTGTCGCAGCAAAATACTGAACAATTCGGCATTTTTATAGGACGTAGATTCGGCCGTGAAACTGAATTAGTTTAGTGAGCAGTGCGGTTGCAACTAGTTTTATTAATATGCATAAAGCAGGACCGCGTGGACTTATATTTTGACAGAAGGGAACGCTTGCGTATGGCTACTCCACTCCGACCCACCGGTGGCCCGTGTTGCTCTATGTTCTACAAAGCAATAATAAATTAAACATTTGCTGATTGTCCAACTAATTCTTTTAATTGTATAGATATGGTTCTAAAAGCGGATTCATTTCTTTTACTATTTACTAATGAAACGAAAATAACGCTAATAGCGATAACTTGAAACGAATTAATTACACAAAAAATTTTTACTAACATTGTATACGAATAATAATAAAAAGATAAAATATCCGTTACCAAAACTTGAAGACTTGTTATACAGATTAAAATAAATGCAATGATTGCCGTTTTTACGTAATGTTTGACACTATGTGCGTTTGATTTACCCTTTCTAATGGCAACACTGAAAATCTTGAAGAAGATTAACGCATTAACAACAATGACAAATAATTTAATATGGGCGTAAACTTTATAGTATATATTGAAATAGACATTGTGTTTGAGTTTTAACAGAGAAGGACATATTAATCCTACTGGTAAGGATATTATCCATATTAAGCCCGACATAACAACTAAGTTCGGTTTCTCAACAGGGAATACGTAGACCACTTTATTATACAAATTTTTTGAGAACACAAACATCCAAAGCACTAGAACGAGGTCGGTCTGCATGTACATCGTGTAAATAATATCCTTGATAACATTACTGCTTCTCACATACATAATACAATATTCACAGATTGTGTTCAGCGTTCTTGCGATAGTCAGTTGTAATAAAACTTCCTCGTCAAAATTTCTACATTTCGGAATGAGGATAAAGAAGCTGATTTTCAAAGCCAGTCCAACGAGAGATACACTTATTCCCACCAGCCATACAATTTGAAACACTTCATCAGGATCCGTCTCAGGTTTTGATTCCAGTGGAGCTGTCGCGTTACGAGTGGCATTTGTCATTCTCCGAATACCACACTATTGGAGCCCGAGTGAGAACAAACAATAAATTGAAACTCCATCGCTCCATCCATATTATTTAACCATCTTCGTATTTAGCCTGAAATAAATACATATTGTTATTTATTTAGTGATTGCAGAAAGTTTAGTGACCACCGAGTAGTGGCGGTGTTAGAATGTCCACTACCTTATATCGTCCCATGTATGTTGTAAAAGGCGGCAGAGATAATAAACCAGGAGATAGACAGCAGCGTCTTTTTAAAGGTAAGTTAAAAGTTAAAGTTACAACCTATATACGTCCTGCTGCTGTGCACAGGCCTCCCCTCATTTCTGAGAGGGTTTTAGAGCAAGGATATTTTCGCCGCGCTGCCCCAATGCGTGTTGGCGAACTTCACATTCTACGTGGTAGAGCCATGCTGCAGCTATATTAGTAGTATAGTTGTAGCACGAATGGATCGGCTCGACCGGGGAAGGACCACGCGCTCACAGAATAAAAAACCAGCGTAAAATAGCAGCTTAACGCTGTCGTGTTTCGTTTGGTGAGTGTAGAGAACCGGAGACCCTTTTTACTTGAAATGTGGCATTCCATCTTAGTCCTCACGGGAGACAACGTATCTGAACTTTGATTTGTAATAGAGGATAGATGTAGATGTCTATGAGCCGCAGTAACCAGTTACCATCAGGTGGACTTTGTGCTCGCTTGTCACCCTTATCCTATAAAAAAAACATGACTTAGAAATATTTTTTCTTTTCTTATTTCTCAGACCGCCTAGAACTTGGTAAATCAGCATTTAAAATTGCAATTAACAATTTCATTGGTGCCAACGGGGATCGAACCCGGGTTGCTCGCGGACTGTGAAACTTAGTGTGCGCTAACCATCTGAGCTACCACGGCTATACTTACCGGGCGTCTTCTTAATAACAACTAAAAAAATTTTAGAAATTCAAATCGAAATGAGGCAATCTATGGGAGAGGCTTATGGCCTTAACAGTGGTTGAAATGCCTAAATCTAGGATATTTAAGTAAAAAAATCTCAATAACTGTTCATTTAATCCACAAAGAAAAAATACAGGGTAACAGAAGAGCATTTGGTAAATGTTTTTAATTAAAAAAACAAAATTGTATTTTTGTCAACCCCTTATTAGAAAAAAAATCCCCAAAGAGTACCTATCTTTGTCATATTTTGCAAAATTTCTCCAAAACGGCATAAGCTTTTTAAATAGTTCTTACACTAAAAAAAAGGTCTTAAAAATATTAATATTTTTAATTGAGAGTTTTTTTTTATTACCCGTTTTATAAGAGAATATATCATTTTTCCCTAAAATTGAATATATTTACGCGAGCGCGCATGCTCCGTCGCCATGTAAGCTCTGTCACAGTCCGTTTTCGGACATCGTCGAGGGTGGACCGCACGTCGGTGTTGGAGCGACTTCGTTCAAATATATATCAGTTTTTTAAAAGTTTATACTCAATTATAAATATTTTTATGACTAGAAATACTTAATTTAGTTAATATCTGTACACTGTTAACTGTAAGTATTATTTTCTAAATAAATGAATTTTTAAAGTGCCCAAAGAAGAAGAAATTTTTGCGGCGACGTTGATTACTGAAATTGAAAAATGCATTTTTATATAATTTAGATGTGGAACGACGAACATGCTCTCGTTACTTAGATTTCGATAGTTTTTAATACCTATGTAATTTTATTGTTGCATATTTTTATTAATTAGTTGATACTGAATTTTATAATTATGTATTACAATAAAACGCTGTTTTTATGAGTATGACTTTATAAAATATTATTGGGGAGAGAAATAAAGATACAGATACTTACATTTAGGTACACTGTTATCAAATTAAATCAAACAATTTAAATAAATAAAAGAATGGTGCTTACCTAAGTATAAATAACTATATAACGACATTCTTGGGTTTATGGTTTTTTTTTATGTTAGACAAACTATCATCTAAAAAATCTAAAAATTTTAAATTGAAGAGGGGTTTCTCTACATGATAAAGTTAGAAATGAAGATATTTGCATTAGAACCAGAGTAACTGACATAGCTCAACGGAATATTACAGTGAAATGGCAATGGGCTAGCTATATAATTTGGAAACAAATAAAAAATAGGAAGAAAGGTCCTCGAGTGGCAACCTCGTACAGGTAAGCGAATTAGTACTCAACCTTTATTCCTCTTCACGTATTCTCATACATTTTTCTTCACACATACACACACACACACACACACAAACACACACACACGCACACGCGCGCAAGCACGCACGCGCGCGCACAAACACACATACAAATAGGTCGCAAATAATACTTACCTAGTACTATTAGGCAAGAGTGAATAGGTTTTTGTTAAGTCAGTGCAATTCACCATCTTAGACTACATAACCACTTACCGATGGGATTGTAGTTGCTTTACTACTTGCTAGGTAAAAATAGTAAAAAAAAAATTACCCTGTGAAAGTTTGCATTTAGATATAATTTTTCTAACCAACCATAAAAATATGATGAGAATATGTATATAAGTATAAAGGTTCCCTCACACGGGACAGTAATAATATAATATTATATCTTCCATTATCTACGCATGAAAACTTTTAAAATATCTGAATCCCGATGTATGTTCATATTAATAGGCTGAATAGAGCCACTTTGAAATGCATGGGGATCGTTTTGTAATTTCACGTCATTATCGAAAAAAAATTGTTCGTATTTCAGGTGGCGTTTTGCAAAACACGATTCCACAAAAATTAACTCAATAGAAAATAATTGCAAATTGCTTCTAAAAATACTTAAATTTCCAACGTCAATTTTTTTTACGTGGTAGAGCCATGCTGCAGCTATATTAGTAGTAGGTATAGTTGTAGCACGAATGGGTCGGCTCGACACGGGAAGGGCCACGCTCTCACAGAATAACATGTAAAATAGCAGTTTAACCCTGCTGTGTTTCGTATGGTAAGTATAGAGAACCGGAGAACCTTTTTACTGGAAACGAGGCATTACATCTTAGTCATCACGGGTGACAACGCATCTACATTTTGATACGTAATCGAGAATAGATGTAGATGTGTATGGGCCGTAGCAAGCACTTACCATCAGGTGGACTGTGTGCTCGTTTGTCACCCTTATTCTATTTAAAAAAAAACTTTCTGAGATTTCAGTAAAATAATGTTAAGTATTGTAAGCACTCCTACAATTATATCTCTTGTTAATAAAGCTATTGAGCTATTTTGATTTGTAATAAAGTGATTTTACTTTATAGGTTAAATAATTTATTTAACTTTCTATATCAAGAACCGTTTTTCTGTCACTCCTATTAAATTTGACAGTGCTTGCTGAAATTTAGCATCTTTAGATGGATCAGAATCGCCCGCTGATCCGGCTGTTAGATATTGCAAAAATAATCGAAAATATTTATTTTTACTTTCATGCCCAAGACTACCTTGTTTTATTTTATTACGGTCAAATAATATTATTAGGTTATAAAGCAAGTATTTTTGTAAACGTTTTGTATGTTAATGTAAATGTTTTCATTATTTTGTTATTCTATTGTTTACAGTTATTATCACGTCTTAGCTTTACACCAAGAATTATATTAGAAGTTCTTGATGGGATGCTATGTAATGCGCATACATTATTTTCATCAAGAACTATAATATATATATTTGTTTTTTTTACCAGTAGAGTTTCAACAAAATCTTAAAAAAGTTCAATGAATTAAAAAAATGCCAATAATTATATAATTTCAAGTCAGTGTTTTACATTCAAAGATCAGTTATAAAGAGCCAATGTTATTATTTTCATTTTGATTTATTTAATTCGAGACTAAAATAAATGTGAAAGGGCTTTTATCTGCAATAATAATTTTCATCAAAAATAACATAGACTTATAAATGTCATATACACGGTCAATCATACTGAAGATTATCAATTGTACTACAAAATATTTAAAATACTATTTCCAGTATAATGACTCGAATATCATCATTAATGTTTGCCTGGCACACTTAAAAGTTTTATCCCATGGCTAAATGATTGACTTTTATATTATGATAAGGTCATGCTTTTCTATAAAAAGTTGCAAGAAATTTTAATTCACGGCCCTATTGGTTTGTTTTACTTTTTACTTAATTAGTGAAAAACAAAATGGACTGATCTAAAAGTTTACTTTCTTGTGTAAAAAGTGCTATTTAGAATTTTATGCAAATGATAATTAAAGTTTCTATGTAAATAAGTGTAACATAGCGGGTATTATATTCAATGGTAGCGGCCATCCATATTTGCAAAGCCAGCATCATTTTCTGAACAGAAACCGGCAAAGTGTTGCTCAAGGCACTATAAACAAAGCAGCTGATAAAATGTTACACTCATAACTGTTAACAAAAACTGTTTTCGCAAATGGTCTTATAGATAATAGTAACTATTCCGCCGTGTTAGGTGCAGGAGCTATTATTAGAAGGAGAAGAGGTAAAATTTTGTTTTAGAAATGCGCAATCAATATTGTTTTGTCTGCAATTGAGCATAAAATAAAAAATAACTTCAGCCAAAGAGCATAACTGGCATTATACTCAGGCCCATCAATTGGTATGGAAAAAAATAATTTTACCAGGTTTCAAAAATTCAATCAAAATTCAAAAAACATAAATATTAAAATCAAAAAATGTATATATGTATGTCTATACATACATATAATGATTTATGGCCGCTTAGTAACTGACGGTGACTCAGTATAACATCCTACAGTCACGCCGAAACTAAGAGGAGAAAATCACTGTAGAAAAGGTAATAATTTATTGCGGAAATTTTGTGCTAAGATTAAAAAAAAATAGAAACTTATCCAAGTTAATCTAACTTAGTCTAACTTATCCTTATGCGTTACAAAAAAAAAAACAAATAATAAAATAGTGAGATGGCGTCAGTTTTTAAGTAGATATAACAAAAATTAACAAAAAAATAAATTTCAAAAAGTTCAGTATTTAATTGATTATATGTATACCGCTGACACTTAATCACGCTTTTCGAAACCACGTCAGTTGTAAACAATACTTGTGTGAAAAGACAAAATCTTCTTTTCAAATTTCCGTC